TTATCCGGAAGTGCCTGTCCTAGCTGATCTCACATGTATGGGAGCTGTATTAATAAGGTATGCAGTAGTAGCCTCCATGCGTAAATCTTTTAAAATGAGAAAATATTTTAAAGACAAATTGAACAAAAACCTGTTTAAAGTTCAAAATAAGGTTTACATATAAAGTAACAGCATTACTATAGGAACTGAATAAGTTGGCATAATTAATAAATATGCATTTGTAGTAGAAAGTGACAGTGGGAGTGGAAATGAAGAATGCTGTGGAGATTGGACTGAAGAAAGAGAAAGTACCAGGAGGCTACAGGAAATTACATAATGTGAAGTTTGTAATTTTGTACATGTTACCAGACAGTATTAAGATGAACAAATCAGGGAGAATGAGAGGCTGCGCATGTGATATAAGAAATGCACATGAAAGTTTAGTTGGAACACCAAAAGGAAAGAGACCACTTTGAAAATTAAATGTAGGTAAGGGGGATATTATTCAGATGGGTTGTCATTAAAATGGATGTGATGATGTAAACTGGATTAATCTGGTTCACGGTAGGGTCCAGTGCCATGTTGTTGAGAATATGATGAACCTTCAAGTTACATGAAGTTTGAGTGAATATCGACTTCTGAAGAAGGAGTCTTCTCCATGGAGTTAAATAATTAATTGTATTATTTTCTTCCCTCACAGTTACAACAATGGCTACCATTAAACAGTTGAATGTGCTTATAGCTCTCTTGTCCTTGTTCTCGTGCTTTCTTCACATAAATGCTGCAGTTTCTCAACCTGCTGTTGTACAGGATCCTGCTTTTGTGGGTGCTGGCAGTAAATCTGGAGTCCTTGTCTGGAGAATAGAGGTGAGTTCTGCAAACTAGACCTTAAAATATTTAGTCATGTATTTATCATTTAGGCTGTTTTCTGATTAAGAAGTAGGAGGCTATGAAGATGAACAGATTTCAGGTATGTTCTTTATTATTGAAAAAACAGAATTAAATGTGATGTTTTTACAGAATAAATGCCAGATAATATTGGAGATTGTTTAGAAACATGGCTGTTTCAAGACAGACTGTTGTGAAAGATTTTCAGGCAGTTTGTGATGGTGACAAAAAAACTGTACAGATGAGGGGTGATTTCATTTTAGTGCATGTTAATGCTTTCAATATTGCTGAATACTTTTCAGAGACATTAAATCCAGAAAGATATGTTGACCAAAACCAAAATCATTAGAAGGAATACACATTCTTTTAGTAAGATGGTGTAGCTGTCCTGCAGCATATAGGACAACAAAATTATCTTATGCAACATTTTACATGACTAAATAACTAGTTGCAATTTGTGGCCCACTTATTCACCAAGTAGTGATCTCTGAAAGATGGGCTTACAAGAAGAATCCACACACAAACTTTAATAAACATATCAAGTATGAAGTATTATTAGTTTTGCTACAAGATTTAAAATGTCAGTAACATGTGCCAAGTATATCTGATAGCTGAAGGAGGTCATGTCAAACAGAAAGTTTTATCACAAAATACGTAATGTTATTGTAGAAGTTTATATCAACTACAAATCCTAATAGGAGTTTTAAGAGTCAATGAGGAAAACACTGTTTAACCTGCTTGAAAGCAAGCATTCATTTTGAAGTTATACATTTTCTACTATGGCTCTGCAGTCCGTATTCGGTCCACGGCCTCCACAATTCTCCTCTTCCATTCGGTCCTCTGTTGGGTCCGTCTGTCCGAGGCTTTGATCAAGGTTTCGAAACATCTTCCTTTTTACGGTTCAATGTTGTTAGCCTTGCGACCAACCCCCAACCTGGAGAACCAGGGTACCTGTCTTAGTCTGACCTCACCCCCTCGACCAATCTGGCTTGGGAGGTCCTACCAGTAGCTATACTACCGCCAGCATAGCTCTTGGGATCACTGAGGTACTCAAGCCCCACCACCACGACAAGGTGCAGGTACCATTAAGTGAGGTCAGTGCTTGTTCTGCATAGGAAAATTTAATTGTACTTGCTGATGGGTATCATCATCGTCATCATTATTGCATCTATTCACCATTTTATAGGGTATTTTCTTCTATGTACCTGATTCAAATCTTGCCCCTGAGGTAAATAATGCAGCAGCTATTTCTGAAATATTACCATTATTATTATTTTGGAACTTCAGACTTTTTTAATATTGAAATATGTGTTCTTATGCATTATTTGTTAAGATTTTATAGAATTCACAGCAAAGTTTTGTGTCTGTCTATCTGAAACTGTTTGTCTGTGGAATTTTGTATGTGGGTTCCACATTAAAAATTGTCAGGCATGTTTCATTTTGGTGCACATCAATCAGTCTTTACCCCCAAACCCAAATTGAACTTTGTGAAAATTTTAAAGAAGACTTATTGTAAAAAAAAAATTGTATGATAAATTATAGGTCTCATTTATTATTATTATTTAGTGTTCTGTCTGACGACAGGTCCATATGAACAGGATCCTTCCCTCCTTTTCTCGGACTGGTAGGTCTCATTTAGATCTACATTTTTATAAAAAAACAATTCTATCTTTGCATCTGCAACTTTGTATCTGCAGTAAATAAAACTAATTAGATACACAAGGTAGCGGAAGGTCACATTTGGAATATAGTATGTACACTCATTTCATTATAGTTAGCTATATTTCTTTTGAACAAATCTTGTGAGATCAGTGGAATATTTTATTGCTGATTATGAAGAAGTTAGCCGTGAGGGAAGTATTTAGTATTGCAATTGAATTCTCTACAGTTGTCATAATTAGGTATGGGATCCTGCAATGTGAATGACCAAGTATGGCTCTGGGAAGCCAAGGTCTAAGTAGTTCACTGTCAGTAATCATTATATTTCTCAGTGAGTAACAGCAATATGTAACTTCTCTTTACATCACACCATTTTCTCCTGGCACAATGAAAGTGGGAGTGGAGAAGAATGCAAAAAATTGGTAATTTAGGAAATGACCTGTTGTTATTTTCTCCTGGCACAATGAAAGCCTCTGTAATCAAACCATGAGCACTTAGAAGTCTAACTCTGTGATGTAGGCTTAAGTATGTAACTTGAAAACGTTATATGAAGATAAAAGGCCTTTGTACCTTTGGTCAAAAATCAGCTTTGTGACAATGTACTTTGCAATAAAGGAATATCATAGTCAGACACATAAAGAAACAATGAAATCGAAAGTGAAGGATTAGATGTGTATTGATTTAAAGTGATAACTAAAGATTGAAATTTTGAACATATAGTCAAATATTCAACACCTGAACACTAGTAAGCTCCTGTGAATCTTGAAGAATCATTTATTGAGGTTTTCGTGTCTTCATGTAATATAAATCAGCAGTATAATTTATCTACGCTATGTTTAGGTTGATTTATTTTTAACTTATCACTACTTCATGTCATCCCTTTGATTATATTATGTGAAATTTTATAATAGTATGAACTGTACTTGTTTGTCATCTTACAAACTTATGGATCCATGGACTAATTAATGTGTGTGAGGAATGTAACATCCTTATCAAATGAACTGTGTCATTTTAATGACTTTGGATATAATAATGTTTTTTGAGATAGTATGTTTATGATACACAACCTTATGTTTCAGAAATTTAATCCTGTAGCAGTTTCATCAGATAAATATGGCCAGTTTCATATAGGAGATTCTTATGTTGTTCTCAAGGTTAGTGTGGATTCCTAATATGTAGCTGTCTAAGCTTTTAAAATACTTACTATATGTAGCATGTTTACTGTTTGTCATTTCTGTATTAACTGAAGGAAATGTATCAAAGATAGAAGTAGAGAAAATATTAAAATACAAAGATGTATTGATTTAATTTGATGTATGTGGAATGTAAAGGCAAAAGTGATACAGAAAATTGGCACTATTATTTCAGAAGTTTTTAGATTACATTCCTGGTAAACACTGCAGCATGGAACTACAAATAAGTCATTCTAGGACCAGCATATATCTTGCTGAGTGAGTGGCCTTGAAGTTACAATGCACAGTAAAAGAAGAGTAGTCCCTCATTGACGTAGAAAATACAAGCAGACTAACAGCATCCAAAATGAGTCAGCAATTAATTTTGTTTTCAAAAACATTGATAAGATAAAGGGCATCAAGATGCCTCATCCTTATAGCTTTAAGTGAAATTGTTGTGTTATAGATTCCTAATATCAGATTTAATTAAAATCCATTCAGCCATTCTAAAGTTGTTTCACACGTAGAGGCACATAGACAGCAGTTATGATAAGCAGTCCACAGGGATTCAAACCTGAATAGGGTACAAACATGGCTGTCTTCTGGGTTATATCACCCTAATGATGGAGGCAGCAAGGACCCCTGAAACGGTGGTAAACTTCTACCAGACTACACGGCACTACAACCCAGAAGACGCCTATCTTCATTTTCACCACTGCGAGAACCTAACATCTTACTGAATAGGGAAAGTAAATATTACTTAGCCATAATTTGTCAACAATATCAGGCAAATTATTGGCTTATAAAGTAAAAAACTTAAAATGGTTACCGTGTTAGAGAGGCTTCAAAGAAATCACTAAGGAGTATGACATTGGCAGCTCATAAATTATTTTTCGGTGGGGAAGCTTTAGAATAAAATATAAAATTAAATTATCAGATTGTAGTACATTTTATTATTGTAAAATTCTATTAACAGAGGTGCAAGCACCAACAAAACTGACATTATTGCTAAGAATTTTAAGTGATTCTGGAAGCATTTAAATGCTGAAATGTATTTCTTGTCAAATTTATTATTACAGTATATTTGTAAGTATTAGTATGCATCTTAAGAAGGAAGACCATAGTTTACAAATATTTGAAAACAAAGCGCTCATGAAGAAATTTGGATTTAGGAAGGATGAAATAAGTGGGGAATTTAGATTGTTACATAATGAGGAGCTGCATGAATTGTACAGGTCACATAACATAGTAAGGATAGTGAAATCTAGGAGGATCCGATGAGCTGGGCATGTGGCAGGCATTGGGAGGGGGACAAGGGTGCATACAGAATTTTGGTGGGAAATCCTTCAGCAAAATGACCACTTGGCAGACCAAGAAGGATATGGGAGGATAATATCAATATGTATCTTGGGAAGGTTGGCTGTGAGGATGGTAAATGGATGGAGTTGGCTCAGGATTGTGTCCAGTGGCAGATCTAGGTATTGTCGGTGTTAGACCTGTAGGTTCTGTTACCAGGGAGTTAGTTAGTTACATTAATGTTTTATCTGGGAAACTGAAGAGGAGATATAACTGGGAAACAGGTGTAGAAGGGAGGGTAATTAAAACAAACACAACATGTGGGTTTTGATTGGATTTATCTGGCTCAGGCAGCAGCAGGTGCTCATGAACATGATGAAGTTTCAGGCTCCATAAGGGTGGGTAATTTGATAAGTTGAGTGGGCAACTGTCAGTTCCTAAACAAGAACCCTGATCTCTGTCAAAAATCATTATTGTTTCAGAATCATAAGTCAATAGGAATTTTGTTAATGATGAGCATTGTTTGTTAAAGTTGCGTATTAATTATGTGTTGCAGACAAAGAATAACAGACGCAGTTGGGACATTCACTCTTGGCATGGGAATGAAACCTCAAATGTATGTACAATGAAAATATATACAGCGTGGCAAAGACACAGAATCATTAAAGTATCTTTTATTTGAGCTGTTTGGCTGTAGCACCACATTACATATGATTCAGGCAGGGATTAATCAGTCAGCGATTCCATTTCTGAAGAACCAAATTCCAATTTATAGTTATATAACTTAAAAGTATTAATGATGCTGCCCCAACTCTAGTCAGGTTGTAAGGCTGTGCCATACTGAAGCAATTCCTACAGTCAAATGGAATTCCCTCCGATCCCCATAATTATTGATTTACCTTTATGGCCAAGTAAATTAAATGAATTGGGCTTAAGCATTAATATCTAATTTATGTACAAAGTATTTGGCAGTGGCTTCAGACACAGAACCTATTAATACTGAATTTGTATGACAAGGACTAGACCATACAACAATTATTATAAACTTAAAAAAAAACAGTTTTTTTATTCTCCCACACAATAGACTCCAGGGGCATAACTCTAAAATTGTAAAATTATTATTTATTTATTTATTAACTACTAGTAGTATTTTACATATGTGGACTTTTACCAGGATGAATCTGCTACTGCTGCAATTAAGATGGTAGAACTGGACAACTTGCTAGGTGGAGGTCCTGTGCAGCATCGTGAAGACCAGGGAGAAGAATCAGATCTGTTCCGATCCTATTTCTCTTCTGGTATAAATATTCATATGCATTTTACATAGGACATCATATGTGTACAAGCACACGTACATAAACTTGCATGATGGGGTAACCTTATCATTTATATTCTTCTGCTGGTATTTTTGGAATAAGTAGGTCGGAAGGTTTATAATGATTGGGCATCACAAATGGAGAGAAAAAGAAATGCATACAGAATTTTGGTGGATAGAAATAATGGAAGCAGCCTATTTGATATTGAAGCATATATTGGAGAATAATAATGAAATAGGTCTTATGAGTTTTGTTGTGGTTATGCGGAAGACATTTCTTGATTCCTTTGTATTGCATGTTAGCTCACTTATGTTAAAGTAAGTCTATACAAACTTCACCAGCCTTTTTCTTCAGATGAACTGTTCAGTTTCAAAATTCATTTATTTTATCTTTCTCTTATGATGTCTTTAGCAATGTTGTTCGTTTGTTCATAAGGATGATTGATCTTGATTTGCTGTTCATTCTTGAGCCGAATAGTTGCTCACAGTGGTATTTACTGTCAGATAATGACATTATTAAGAAAACATGTTTTTTTAATAGGAGGTAACTATTTTTCTTCATACAGAGTGACACAGTATACATATAGTCTATGGGTTATGTGTTGAGAACTCCTGGTATAACTAATATGGAGCTTTACCTCCGTGAACCTTATGTAAGTTAATGGTATGAATCTTCTTCACAAGCAAAAATTTTACTTTTTGGAAACTTCTCTCCCATCATCCATCATTATTAGTAGATAATAAACCATTAACACTTCTGTATTATTGCAGGTATCCTGTACCTACCTGGAGGTATACCCAGTGGATTGCGCCCTGTGAATCGTCCACGTTAAGACAAATTCATTTCAGGTACATTAGTTAGAGCAGACAGTCTAGTTATAAGTGGGGAAAGGTAGCAGTCTACATTTATCCCATTGTGGCTAAATTCCAATTAAAGTAACAGACCGCTGTAACACTGGAACTGCGAGTGTCAATTTAGCTGCCACAAACCATATTTTAATCTTTTACATTGATACGTACCACTGTACTTTCTCCAGAGGTGCACTGTGTGCTGATACCATTTTGAAGATAAAGGTATCCATATTTTTTCATCATGAGGTGGAAAGAGTTTATTATTTGTTTTGTATACAACAGAATTAATCATTTGTCTTCAGAATATTACACATGAAGCATCCAAAAGAAGAGTGCGGTATGTGAAAGCTTTTGAAGTGGTGAAATTAATTTCTTCAAGCAGTGGGCTGACATCAGCTTAGCCAGTGTCTGAGAAAATTGTGACAGAAATGCGATGACGCATGCTGAGGAAACATTGTCCTGGTCTAAGGAGTTTAAATTTATACTACAGGAATATGATACTTAAATGCACCAAATACCGGAGTGCCAACTTAAATATAACTCGGGGATTTGACTAGTAATAGTATTATATTAGTAATGGAAAAACATCTATATCAGTGAAAATATTAGTAGTAGGATATTGTATTTTAATACATTGCAAAATTCTCTAGTTCTATATTTTATTAGTATAATAGAACTTTTTTCCAAAACAGATTATAAACTCCTAAAGTAAATTAAATACAGAATATATTAATAAAAATGTACAGTGGAGAATGTGGAGCATTTCAAGTACTTGGGAAGCATAATCATGACGGACGCTCTATGCACCAAGGAAGTAAAAGCAAGGATAGCCATGGCCAAGGCAGCTTTCGTCAAGAAGAGGATACTTCTCACTAGCAAGTTGGGCTTGGAGATGAAGAAGAAACTAGTGAAGTGTTACGTATGGAGTGTCGCGCTGTATGGAGCAGAGACTTGGACACTCAGGAAGAAGGAACAGAAATACCTGGAGAGTTTTGAAATGTGGTGTTGGAGAAGAATAGAGAAGATCAGGTGGACGAATCGAGTGACCAACGAAGAAGTATTGAGGAGAGTCAAAGAGCAAAGAATCATTCTGCAGGCGATTACACGAAGGAAAGCTAACTGGCTGGGACATATTATGAGAAGAAATGGATTACTGAGTGATATCACCGAAGGCCAGGTTGAAGGAAAGAGAGGACGAGGAAGAAGATTGATACAGCTAACCGACGACCTTAAACAAGGAAAGAAGATGACGTTCCAGGAATTAAAACGAGAAGCCGAGAATAGGGACAACTGGAGAGCTATTTTTGGGCAGAGCAATGGACCTGTCGTAAGACAGAACACTCAATAATAATAATAACAGTTATATTTATGTTGATAGAAGTAATTTATTGAGCTGAGTTGAAACGATAATTCACACGTCTACAAAATAAATACATGATGTTCATGTTACTACGTTCATAACTTAATGGTTTCAATCGAAATTTAACAACTAATGTATTAGAAATTTTAGCACTGAAACAGTATTTTTATGTGACCAACTTTACAGTGTGTTATCTTATACAGTACTTATATTTTAGTAAAATAACCATCATAGGGCTGATAATGATAAATAAGTCACAGCTTGAATTCATAATGGAATATTGGACAGAGGAGTGAATGGAATTACAGTGTGTTAACTGTTGTGTTATTGATCAAAATAAAGGCCTAATTTAGCCATACGCTAGGGAAATGCAAGTCCAGATGGAACGTGCCTTAACAGTGTGACATACGAACGATAAAGGATAATAAACCCCACATATTCGAGGATGGTCATGAGTCTGCAGAGATAATCCAAGGAGCATATGTCCTGTTGGAAGGATGCAGGAGGTTATACATTCTAGTAGCTTTCAGACAGTAAAATTTGTTGCAGAGAAAGATGGAATTTTAGTTGGTAGTTGCCACATGATCCTCATTAAGGATCTGAAGATGTTGATTTATATAAAATTTGTACTCATATATTATTACACTTCTAAATTTTATAATTTATTTTATTGCCTTTTCAGGATATGGGCTGGTTGAAGAATTTGCAGGAACCACCTTTTTTATGGTTGATGATTTATTGATATTATAAACATTCTTACTTTCTTTTGTTAGCAGATCATTTTATTATTGAAGCATTAATTTACCTATAGATGTGAGAGTGATAAATATTGGTACATGTCTTCAGAAACACGCAGTGGTAATATGCACAGTTATTAATCTTTAAAATGTTGTATTGGCAGCAAATAGCCTGGGTTCGGTCCTTTGTGGCTATAATGATTAACTTTTAACTAACATTGCTAAATATAAATTTGTTATTCCTTATATTTATAGGAAATTATGGTATGATCATTTAACACAAAAATAACTTTTTGAGGTAACTGAATGTTTATTAACTTGTTAGGTGCTTATAACATCATAATTTTTATTTAGTAAGAAATTTCATGTTAATTGAGAGTTTGAAGTGTATTAAAGAGAGCATATACTATTTATAACTGTGCGGAGTGAACCAAAACAATTACCTATCATCAGAGCAAGTTAAAAGTTGTTATGAAATAATTTGATGACAGACCTTCTAACTTCTGATAGCATTTTATATCCATGTGTTAAAATGAATTTTGAACAGTTACTCATAACAAATTGTAAAATAAAATTATATGTTTTTTTATCGATGGTACTTCGAATCATGCAGAAGTAAATGTGTGTTTATCCAAAGTGGAGTGATCATGCTTTCTGAATACTGCTGATTCTTGTGACTTCCTGTATCAGAAAACAAATTACAAAGGTATTCCTTATACACCAAGTGTGTCATTACTTGCCAGTTTTTTGTATGCTGCATACAAATAGTAGCATTATTGATTGTGAAATGAAATATGATGATATTAATAGTGAAACGTACAATACAATACTGCATAATACTTCATACATAAATAAGATTAAACACTATAAATTAAGTTTGTGAAACTGTATTGTTAATTTGTGACACACCATGAAATTGAAGTAATACGTGTGTGTGATAATGATTACTTTGCTCTGTGAAACATTGCTTCAAGGGTGTTTATGTCTTATCAATGACATTCACATTTCATTGTCAGGAAGCATTTAAAACCTTCTCTGCAAAGGTGAGTGAGGAAACTACTAGAAGTTGGTTGTGCACGAGACATTCAATGTCATCCGTGCTTGCGTTCATCATTCGGTAGCAGCTGCTTGTGTTCTGGCTGAAGTCTCAGATGCATGTGTAGTAGCATTATATATTTTTTTGGCGTGAATCGATTGGATAAATATTTGTACATTCATATTTTCAAAATAGTAATCGAGAGCATATAAATTAATTGGGTTACAGTGTGTACAAAACAGACTGAAGTTGAGTATCAGACTAAAGGTCTTGTCTTACTGGGAACTGGAATGTATTCTGGTTGCAGAAAATTTCAAATGGCTTTAAATGTATCTTTTATTATTTTCCCACCTGTAGAGGCCCCTCTCATGAAATGAAGTTAGAGTACTGTGAAAATGGAGCCTATTGCTCAATATAGGAAACAAATAAGGTGATTGTTCGGTATGCATGACACATGAAAATATTAGCACAAACAATTAGAACGATTAGTATATGCCTATTACTTTGTTTTAGTTGTCAACTGCAAAGAAACGTGAGCAACTTAAGCTTACTTCCAGACTTGGAACAAATAAACGACAGACGAGACTATTTCAGACCAATGTCTCGCGCTTGACAGATGAAATTCTGACCTAGACAGGCAGAGACATGTGACATCAAGATGTGGAAACACAGCTGACCAGTTTACCATAATTAATATTCCCATGAAATACACACGTTTTAGGCTTTCGTTCAGTCTTGTTACGTCATACATATGTCGTCATTTCTCACTAACAGCACCAATGGCAGAGGTGCATAGTCTGATGTTTATGGACCACACCTCCGGTGTGTGCGTCATAGTGTGCGGCTGCGCATTGAAACAGTGTCCTTTCGCTTCCTTCAGTGACAGTACGTGATTAGTCTTCATTGCTTTGTGTATAAGAGAAACAATGTCTGGCGCGCATCGTGCTTTTGAAGGCGCCGGCAGTGAACCCGGTCTATTGATTTGGAGAATAGAGGTGAGTTTCTTGTGTCTCGTTACCACGATACGAGTCCGATATTTTTTATGTTATTTTGTTTTTGTAAGCTCTAGGGAGTTGTATGCTTATCAATTGGACCGTTACCGTATGCCAACACAATTTCTAGTGCAGGATTTTTCAGTTGATGACTGAAGCCTTCTCCGTGCGAAATGGCAAATGACATATTTTGGAAGGAACTCACGTTACTATTGTGACGTTCCATTGTCCTGTAAATGAATACGTCTGACAGGTGACTGTTAACGGTTTGATTTTAAATTAGTTTACGAATTACATGGTCGGAACTCGATCCCATGCAGGAGTGTATGGGACTTCATAGTTCCGGCATTGTTCATTTTCAGTTATCTTGAATGCATAACATACGAACAGGAAACTAATTATTAGCCTGTGGTGATAAAACTTAACCCCACAAGATGCCCTTGTTGCATATCCGTAACATGCAAGAAATACCACCGTTGGATAGATCAGTTGGCCAAGCTTCGTGAGAAATGCATACAAGGATTATTTAGGAAACCTGAAGAAAAGAGAGAAACTGGAAGACTTTGACGCAGATGAAATGAAAAAGTGGGGAATTTCTTAAGTTGCTGAGGCACTGCAGTTAGCTTCTCGAGAATGACTTTACTTCGTGTAGTTACACACACACTCCAGATCATATTATAATAGATGTTGTATCCTGTTACAATATGCCGTCACAGGTTCACGTTATTGAACAAACGCATTTTAAGCTTTCTGCCGAAAGCACCGTTTCTTTTAAACAGTAAGTGGTGTATGAAAATCTCCGTCGCTGCCTGTTTGGACATCGGCCAGGGTCTATCTGAGAATTTCATATTATATTACGCTCCCATAAATAAAGTTGATGAGCAAACTGTGACACTGGGAATGGCAAAAGTGAGGGAGAGGCTTTCAGTAAGTAGACGAAATAAGCAACATTTTGACACAGAAAGATTTTATTTGAAAAAATTATCTGAGGGAGAGGTAAAGGAGCAATATCAAGTCGAAATTTCGAATGGGTTTTAAATTTTTAGAGACAGATAAAAATGATGAAAGGGCGGATATCAACTGGGAGTGGGGAAATGTCAGAAACTGCATCAAAGTTTTAGCTAAAGACAAAGTAGGATACTACAGGAGAAAGCAAAATAAACCACGGTTTGATCAAGAATGTTCAAAATTAATAGATCGAAGGAAGCAAACAAAATTTCAATGGTTGCAGGATCCAAGGAAAACGAATAGAGAAGTGAAGCTAGTAGAACCTTTAGGAGTAACAAAAGGGAATATCTGAAAGGCAGTAATATTGAACTTGAAACAAATAGTAAGGACAAAAATATCAGAGATCCGTTCAGAGGCATAAATGATGTTAAGAAAGGAGGCGGATATCAACTGGGAGTGGGGAAATGTCAGAAACTGCATCAAAGTTTTAGCTAAAGACAAAGTAGGATACTACAGGAGAAAGCAAAATAAACCACGGTTTGATCAAGAATGTTCAAAATTAATAGATCGAAGGAAGCAAACAAAATTTCAATGGTTGCAGGATCCAAGGAAAACGAATAGAGAAGTGAAGCTAGTAGAACCTTTAGGAGTAACAAAAGGGAATATCTGAAAGGCAGTAATATTGAACTTGAAACAAATAGTAAGGACAAAAATATCAGAGATCCGTTCAGAGGCATAAATGATGTTAAGAAAGGATATCAACCTCAGACTAATTTGGTAAAGGATGATAATGGCAACTTACTGGCAGATCCAATCATAATTTTGAATAGGTGAAAAGTCAGCAGACAGGCGGACATTATTGTCTTAGGGTGGCAAATGAATCCTTTGAAAGTGTGACAAATTTAAAATATTTGGGAACAACGATAACAAGTCAAAATGGTTTTCATGGGGAAGTTAGGAAGAAACTAAATTCTGGAAATGCATGGTACTTCTCAGTTCAAAATATTTTGTCTTCCCGTCTGATTTCTAAGAACCTGAAGATTAAAGTATACAAAACAATAATCTTGCCTGTTGTCTTGTATGGGTGCGAAACATGGTCTCTTACTCTGAGGGAGGAACATAGATTGCAGGTGTTTGAGAATCGGGTGTTGAGGAGGATATTTGGTCCTAGAAGGGAAGACGATGGGGCGTGGAGAAAACTGCATAATGATGACCTTAAAAATCTGTACTCCTCCCCCAATATTGTCAGGGAGATTAAGTCGAGAAGAATGAGATGGGTGGGGCATGTAGCGCGCATGGATGGGACAAGAGGTGTGCCTCGGGTATTGGTTGGGAAGCCTGAGGGGAAGAGACCGCTGGGGAGACCTAGACGTAGATGGGAGGATAATGTCAGGCGGGATCTGTGGGGGAGAGGATTTGAAAGCGACTAGATTTTGTTGGTCCGGTGGAAGGCTTTGGTTAATTCGGTGATGAACCTTCGGGTTCGGTAATCCGGTCCTGTAAGTTACCCTCTCAAATGATTGCTTTGCAACTGAAAACAGCTGCCATTTGGCTCCTCCATTAACAAGTTTATAAATGGAATAAAGGATATTCAGTTGTGTTGCAGTGGTCACATTAATCCTTAACTTATTGCGTTCTAATGTGGGAACGTAAGTTGGACACCAAATCATACGAACGTTCCTCGTCGGGAACGTAAACTCCGGCAACACTGGAAGGTGGTTTGGCTGTCTTTTTGCGCTGTTAGAGAACTGCATTCAGTGAATGAGGGTTCTCTTGGGTTCTGACAAGGTCAGCCTGAGCTGTCAACCGGGAAACTGTAGACGTAAACAGCAATAAACATTGTTTATGTCAAACGGGTTTCGGCTTCATTTTCAGGCACCCAATTCAAAGTTCTCACACCCCTCGACAGGACTGGTAAAAAAAACCGACTGAGCGTTCAAAAAAGAAAACGTCTAGTTATTAGTATATATTTGTGCAATTAAGATATTAACGACATTTACAAAAAAAATAGACTGTGTAATCTGTTATATTCGCGTAAAATAGACGTTTATGTCGTCACTTTATCCTTCTTATTTTAGATAATATTAAAGTTTTTCTTAGAGCCTGTACAAAATTTAAATGCCCGCAGAATTCTTCGTACGGCAAGGACCACTAATGCCATTTATATGCCTGTAGTTTAAAGTATGGTCGAAATACCATGGTTTAAAGTTTAAGTTCATTTGACTGTGGTCATTAAGAGACCCTCATAAGTGTTAAACTGGAGAGGATATTGCAAGATACAACAGGTAAATGCATTTGGAACTTTATTGTCTGGTTACAGCTTCAGACACTTACGTGTTCTGTCATATAAAAGGAATGCTAACTTGAAAAAAAAAATTATTCGAAAAATGTTAATGGATGCTTTTCAATGAAGTAACCAAAGTTTCGTCACCGCTACAAGAAAATGCGTTTGTTTGCTCACTGATAACGAGTTGAGTTCTCAAACCGAAATCTCGTCGCCATAATTAATCTCATCTATTGGGATTTTAAAGCATAGCAAAAGGGAAAACAAATTCGGCCCCCAGCCATCGAAACTATTTTTATTTTCCAAGATCCTGTTTAATAGTCCTTTCCGTCCATGTTACACCTTCCCGAAAAAGTCTTGCTTCCTACGTCTAGACTAGGTTATAAAGAATCTGATATCGGACTGAAATCTTTTTAAAGACTCTCCCACGCAACAGCTGGGAAATTGTAGCCTACGTGTTTGCAGGGCTGTTAAGTAAACTTGCATTATATGGCCTCGTTACGTAATCGGATTGCCATGCAACTAAGCATCGCATTTGGAATGGGTAACCCTGTGCATTCTGCAAACAATAGCCCGGGTTTTCGTGTGATTCACTTCGCGCTCTTCATTTTCACACACAGTCCTATAATAGACCCGTGTCTGATATAGGTGCTTTTTGAGAAATGTGGAACAAAAATTCATGTGCGTATAGGCCTAGCCTATGTTTAGCCTTCAAAAGTTTTGCTACGCATCCACAATTGTGTTCTTAATTCGCCATGTAAATTTTATTGAATTTTATACGTTTGGTATTTATGTCACAATTACGTCATTGTAAGAATGTAGCTTTGCATACGGGAGTGTTCATCAGCACGTGACCGGAAGTAGAATCTTGGAAGTTTCTTTAATCTTCAAAGTAATCACCTCAGAAAAGCCGAGTAACTTATTAAATATTCCTCATTTGTTAAATTTATCTACATTATATGGCAGCGGTAAATAATCGGAAAGAAGCAGACATGGTATTCTCATCGCATGTATCAAGAACATTGTAATGCATCTGTGCCTCCTGGTCGCGATTCGAAACAAACTGTATCACCTGTCTGGAGAATGAAAGCGCTCCTATTGGAGCTTTTTGGAAGCATTCGTTAATGCGATTTCATGTTGTGTGTGTGTGGTGACGGAAGTGGTTTGACGAGTCCTACCATAAGACATTATATTAGTTTGTCATTACTAGATATAAGGACTGAACCCAGGTGTACGACACCACGCTGGTTACCCCCCCTGTTCGCCGATACATTCAGAAGATCGACTTACCGAATTCGTTTTATGATTCTGTATAGAAAATTTAGTTGTGATGAACGAATGACATCTAAAGTAATACAGTTATGAAACGGAATACATTTATACCAGTGGAACACCAGACTTAGGTCCGACAGCCAGCTTCTTTGTTCAGGACATGTCGTTGACAAAACTATCCCAATATAGACGTACTCAGAAGTTTGCCATTTCTCGTGCGTTATTTACAGCCGGTTTAACCACAAGGCCGGCCTAGGCGATCACCAAAGGCGGCAAGAAACAGGAAAAAGTAAAATATATCAAGCGTCTAAAATAAAAGGAGAGAAACAAAGAAATAACAAGTGTGCGTTCGCGTTAGCCGCGTTGTAATGGTGTCGTATGCAAACGGTTGTGTGTGTACTTTTGTCGACACTAACACTAAAAATGAATTAAATACAATTGTTTTGACATAAAAGATGATTGATGTCAGTAAATATTACAGCAGCAACAATGTCAGTTATGGGAAAACAGTGAGTAGACAAGGTACAGAACAGATGACAGACCTAGAGCGAAAGGGAAAAGTTAAAAAGTTGTTATGTCAGCGAGCTAAATAATCATTGACAAAGTTGCAAGTGTTGATGCAGATGGCGGTAGGCGCAGAAATGCGTTCGGCAGAGCGACTGACAGTATCTGTGGGTGTGCACCACAGATGGCTAATAATCTGTGACACGCGAGGGCATTTGAATGGCACGCGGACATGACATAATATCATGCTACTCGTTGTCCCAAGGAAGAGGACTGGAATATCTTCTCTCTTCTCTGCCACTGTTTTTGGAAAACGTTGTTCAAATGTTACTGTCTGACCGAACATATGTCATTGTGATTACTGAAATTCTGTTTGTCTGTCTGCTACACTAAAAATGTTCAGACAATTGTTCTCTGCACTCACGAACAAACAAACTCTTTCTTGATAAATGTGACTTGATAAAAATTACTCCTGGGAGGCAGATGACAAACTAAAGAATGTTTTCTTCATGGGTAGTCCTTGTAATTAATCAATAACTGAACAAGACGTGTCCATCCAAAGTCGTTTGTAAAGAAAAGACTTATGTAGCAACTTAAACACTTAACATTGTTCATGTAGTAAGTAATTTTCAATAAAACGCTACAAATCGTTGTCGCTGGAAAGAGTAATAAATTGTCACTGCCGGGATTTTAATGTTTAACGTCACAATAACATATGTTCCCTGTCAGGCGAGGAAAGACATTTATTTAATTCCCTAAAACTAAAACAATACCACCACCAATCCACTGGTTTTGAAGCTGCGTTTAACGGAATCAGCTAGTTGCCAGTTATTTAATTGTACTGTATATAAGTGTGTCTGTATATACGTGCAAAAATTTAGGTACATAAGATGGCATCTTGGAAGGCACTTATGCCGACCAAAGGCTGAGGTCACCCATGAGAGAGAGAAGAGGACTGATGTTCAGTAGGCCAGTCGAGGATGACCCTGAGAAGAGAGCACGTGGTCAAACTACCCGGCTGCCATGACAGGTTTTCCTTGAGCTTTCGGTTGTAAGGCAAATGCCAGGGTATGATTCAGCGTCAGCTTGAGTAATTTCCCGTCCAAGTCGCAGAGACTATCAGCCAAAGCGAACCCAACACTTAAATCCCAGAGAGCCGACCAACCAAACTCCTTTTCATATACGACAAGTTTCCTGGTGGGATGACCCACCTCTTGTTATAATTTTAAGTAAATGTTTACCATTTCCAGCAGTGCGTTTCGTCCTCAAGAATGGTGTTACCTACTTTTAGTTAGCTTTTTGGTTGGTTGGAACATTACCAAGAAAGGGTTTGTCGTAACATATCGAAGGGGTAACCTCTCAGTAGGAATTCAGGCTTCCCGGTGGCCCTGTACTACAACACGTGGAATCAGCAGCGGGAATCATCGTTGCAAACCCCGACGCTGAGTCTCTGTAGTAGCAAGAATCAGAAAAAAAATGTTGCAGCCTATTGTTTGATCGTTTTGTCAATTTCTGGGGGGGAAATGGCTGTGTTGCCGTCAGACGGAAAATCCCTACAAGGAAATGTTTAAGTACGTTCTCAGAAACAGTCAGTCACAGACTTTATCTTCCGCGATGCACAATCGGTAAGTCCGAACGGGGCACAGGTATGCAAGGAAGATGCCCGATTAGAATGGCAAGAAATGTGATACAAAGCCAAACGTGAGAATTCTAGCGACGGGTGGCAAACTTTATAGATTAAACGCCGTGCCCTCGCCAAAGGCCATACTACAGCGGGTCTCTTCTGCAATTTCGTTTGCGCTCGCAAATGGACAGTGTTATCATAAACGATCTGGCTAACAACGTCTATGTTGGTTATCTGCAGCGGATTGTCTTGTCTGATCGGTTGTTCTGCGTTACAGTGTATGGAGTACCATTGAACCACGAAAAAAATTATCTTATTTTTCGTTTTCCGTAGTCCGTTGTGGTTTCGCGTTTTCACTGCTGCCCTCTGCTCTGCGTATAAGTCACTTTGAGAGCCCTTGCGTTTTGCAACAAATGAATCACGCCGGAAACACTATCTGGCGGTATGCACTGAAGGCAAGCGAGCTGTCGGTGGTGAGTCAGAGCAACATTAAAAGAACTAGTCGGTTGCTCCTTTTGAGTTATGGCGATAATGGGCGTGACCTCCAAAAGAACGAGTGACGTGGGAGAAGAATGGAGGTAGGTCACAGTTAAGTGGAAGCTCATTACACCATGTCTCCTGCATGACATCAGTTTTCGTGTTACAATTAAATGACTCAAAATGAAGGAATAGGAGGTCATAGCATGCACCATTCTGTTGCATTGCAACACTGAAGTTTCGAAATGCAGAGGAGGAACAGGGATAGCTTAGTCAGTATAGTGACTAGCTATGGCTTGGACGACGAGGGTAGAGGATTTTTCCTCTAGACTCTGCGTCCAGATCGGCTCTGGGGCCCACCCAGCCTCCTATCCTTTCTCCCCGGGGGTAAAGCGCGGCCGGAGCGTGATGCTGACCACTTAACCCTATCTGGTGCCGAGATCAAGAA